TTTTTTTTTTTTTTTTTTTTTTTTTTTTTTTTTTTTTTTACTGAGACACAGAAGACAGAGCAAGGAAATTATTTCCTGAGTTAAGTGGAATTTCATGACTTTTCAAGAAAAGTCGTCTTGGCACTTCTTGCATTTTTCTCTAAAATATTAAACGCCTGTGGGAAACAAGAATGCTACGGGGATTTCAAGCAAAAATAAAACAGATCTCACAAATTTATTTAATGACCAAYATGAGATAAGCTAAATAAAGAGAATGACAAAAGCCGTAAGGAATGCCTTGAAGAAATGCCTAGCTATGGAATGTCCTCCAAGTCATGGAGAAAAGACAGAAATCCCATACCAAAGCAGCCCTTATCTATATGCAGTACATTTCTGTTCGTTTTGCATCCTTATTGTTGTATTCTYTCTTATACTGCATGCAAAAGACCACAAATATTAATAAAATGGTGAACAAAGTGATCCACTGGCAAACCTTTCTTAAAAAGGAATGAACTCGAGAGGGCTATAGCAGTCATATTTTTCTATAGTATAAATAGCTTTGTTGTGGTAGTAAAAACTTAACATAAATATTACAGTGTAGAAACAGAAGGGTCCATATAACCAGAAACAAACATCTGCCACTGCATTTTTTCCACTCATGCCCTCTGAGAATGAGGTTGAGTTTGGAAATGCATCTTTTGAACAGATGGAAGCACACTATTTCCTGGAACTTTAAAATCTGTCCAGCGTGTTTGCCATGCACTGTAATTCATACGTGGCTTATGAAAGCCAATGACAGTTTGCATTGCCACTTGTGCGTGTTCATTCACCGAAACAGTTCCACTCGTAAGCTTGGAAAATGCTTCTGTTCTAATTCTACCAGCTTGTACCAGCGATACTCCAAAGTACTTTGCAAATGTTAACAAAAAGAAATATTCACAATTTCTTCACAGATGGATAATCCTGTAATTAATGTTCTAACGAACTGGGGAAAGTGGACAAAAAGATRTTAAGGACCTTTTTGTAACAGGGCTCCTATATGCATATGTGCTTTGTAGTCGGTGTGGATTTAGGTGTTTATTGCTAAATAACCAGGTTTCTGGAGGTAGGATAGACTATTCCAAAAGCCTGAGAAATTAAGGTGACTCAAGCACGTTCCAAGGGAGCTGCACTAATTAGGACACATATACTTGCTTTAGTATTACGGACAGCTCTTTTACTTGGACTAATGACGAAGGGCAAAATTTGAGCGATTTGTGAAAAAACAGATATTTAATGATAACTACATGGATTCAATTACCTTCAGAGTAGGTTACRTATTGAAAGACACTTTTTCAAGTCATCAAGTGTTTCACTCCTGCTTATAAAACTTTGCCCCTACCTAACTTTTTATATCAAGACTCAAGGGCTTTAAATTTTTCTCTTAGTTTTATTTTAGGCACTGCAGCATGAGAAGTATTAATCTAAACATGCTCCCTAGCCTGTTATTAAGCGATTTAGAATTCTAGATCCTCAGGCCTGTTCTTCAGGAGCTATGACTAGCTCATTTTATTAATTAAAGAGAACATTTCCCAGTACATGACTCAAAAGGTTTCCATGTCTTTGATAACCATAAGACACTAAAACCTCATCATTCTTTCATATTTTTATTGCATGGTGACCAATCTGAACTCATTTATGGTAGTTCCTGTGCTTAGGGCTTCCATTATAAAGAGAAAAACATTTTGAAAACTCATTTCATGCAACGCTCTTTCAAACGTAACTCTGTACTCCTTGTTTTCCCACTGCTCTTAATCATTTCAGCAGGAGATTTTTGGTGGTAAAGTGAGGATCTAGACAATCAGCATCAAAAATTGTATTTGAAGTTAAAAGGCTTTGGAAATCTTTCACACATAAATTGAGCTTTCCACTTGTTTCAAATAATCTGAAAGGTAGGACTAGAAAAATAGGTAAAGGAAAAATACTTTCAAGCATGGCAAATGATCCTGTAAATGATAAAGTTCTTCATCCTTAACACAGCTTCAAGATTAAATAGACAACTTCTAGCCTATCTTAGGAATATAATGGAAACACCCATTCCTTAGTTTTTCCTGAAATTCAAGTAATCCACTATGGGATACTGCTCTTTAACTACAAGTGCCGCACTGGTCTGAATGTACTGAGATGGATTTCCCTTCCAAATACTGTACTCCAGAGCATTTTGCTTTCCTGTAAGAGTGAGTAACTTCAGTTTATCAACTGGGTCGACCTTTGAAAGTAGAGTATGTGAAGAAAGACATTTTAAAGCTCTCGAAGGCATTTAACCAACTCTGAGGCTGCTTAGGAGCACAGCCAAGTCTCTCCAACCACCCTCCCAAAACCCTGCYCAAATACGCCACAATTCTTTCACATCTGCAGCAAACTAAACAACTACAATGAGGAGTAAGGTACAACAATTCCTGTTAACACTGTGTAAACCTGTGTTTGTACACACCTGCTGCTCTGTGAGTAATAAACCAGGGCTGGAACACATTTTCTGGAGTGGTTTGACTCTTTATTCCTCAACGAACGTTCCGGCCCTTCCTTAGAATCCAACCAAGACTAGGATTCATCACAACTAGTGCTCCAACGTGGAGCCAGAATATTTTTTTGTGTGGAAAAAACAAAAATTGTCATCAGGCACAGCAGAAACCTCCTTTCTCTACTTCTCCATTCGGACTTGAGGAGTTTTACACGTTTGCCTAAGAAACAAACACATGTCAAGTACTACACTGTTAAATTAGTTACAGGAAACAAAACTGGGATAGTGGATTTTTTTTTTTTTAAACTTACAAGGAAAAAACAAAAATTACAGGAAAAATCAAATTCCAGAATCAGAGCAAATTCTCTTAGAAAAAATGCATTTCTCTAAGGAAAAATTACCCAAACATATTCAAATTCTAACCAAAAAGAAATAGAAACTGATAGATTACACTCATTTTTTGAAAGTATATCAGCAATATTTAAGTATGAAAAAACAGTACTTGAAAAGTTCTTTGAGAGTAAGTCCRTGCATAGACCTGTGGTACAGAAACAAGTCAAGAAGTCAGAAGACAATTCCTTCAAAATGAGAGATTTGAGTGTGTTCTTCTTATATATGTTTAAAGTAAAAGAAAAAAATAAAAATTAGAAGGTTGCAGGAAACTCCATAAAATAACAGATGACATATAACACATCTCAAAAGACAATATTCAATTTAGATAGATCTTTATCTAGATATTTGAGGTAGATTTTGAACCTGCCCATAATGATTGCTCTTGAAAAGGGTTGCACAGCAYCTCAAAAGATCACCAAAATTTTTTAAAGTTTTCTTCTGGAATTTTTTTTGCTTTTAAACTTAAATATCATGCTGCAGATATTAGAAATACACAAGTTTAAAACTTTTAATAACTTCTTGCTTAAATAAAGTCTCCAAGTATTTGAATACTGCAAAACAAATTAATATGGTCCTGCATTCATATTGCCTTGAACAGAATAGTTTGCAAAATAAAATTAATTGTTACAACTCACTGAGAGAATTATGATAGTGAACAGCTGATGAAGATGTATGAGTTACATCAAGCCTAAATCCAATTCATTAGTCTTTTCTATGTATTCATTACTGTCTTCCAAAAGGTTATGCCATTGTAATGAGCATACTCTACTTTTCTCAGTGTCTGTGTAACTCTGTGGAGAACTGAGTTTTTGGTGGAATTATTTTAACTTCACAGAATATTTCATTTACAGACAACAGTTTTATATTTAAAGACTTGAACATAAAACTTATTTTACTTTCTGTAACAGATAATAACTGCAGCAATTCAGACAAGGATATATCCTCTTGAGGTTGTTATGGTGTTCACAACTCCATAGTGGGACTGCGGCATGGCGGCATAAAAGACTGCAAGACAATTAATTACATAAATGTAGTATTTTTCTCTTCTACACCACTTATTCCACCTAATCATCCCAAGTGGGAGATACAAACCACCTCCTTCCTTTCAACACATGAGAAGCTGAAGGATAGTGAAGAGTCATATTACCCTTTCAGCTGTCAGGAAGTGGAGACAGAAAGATGGGAACAGAGTCCTCTCTTTGGCTTTATCTGATTTCACTCACCTAAAGAAAAGCCTACACTTGTTTTTGATTGGAAAGAGAAACCTATAACAATGTGTTTACATTCTAAATATATTAAAAAAAAAACAAAACTAAATTAAAAAAAAATAAACCCAGCCTTGTTTTAAAACTACATTTAGGTTTTAAATTGTCTAATAGGTATAAAGGATTTTCATCTTTTAATATATTTTTCCAGAAATGGGGTTGGAATGAACTTCAAGCTATCCCCACTAAAAAAATCAGGTAGCCTAAATTAATCAAATTTGCGATCTTTTTAGTCTTCAAATTTTATGCTCTAGGGTTTTTTCCTGGTATTTTGAATGGAGACCCACTTGGACAAGTTCAAAATAGAAAGGTAAATTATTTCCTTACCTGTAATTTTATCTTCTCTATAAGAGTACCTGCTGTTCTGTTAGTGCAGTACTGATGTGTTTTCTGCCTTTGTCCCAAGCTTCAGAGATTCCTCTGGTGATTTTTCCCCACTTGCTTACCAGCTTCCATTGCTGGCATTTTGAGGAAATGCACTCACATTTGGCTCCAGGAATATTGCCATAGCTGAGGGAATATAAGACAACTGAAAAACAAGTTAGAAAACAGCAGACCAATATCCAGGCAGGAAAAAAATGCTTAAAAACAATGAATCAGTTATCAACTTGAAACCCTTCGATCATTTCCTTTCTCTTTTCATCCATTTAGAATCTCCAAATGAAGAAAAGACTTTTCTGTGCTTGGAGAAATTTTAGCCTAAGCAGACAGAGTAGTGGGTACCCATTCAGAGAATATAAAATTATTTTAAGATAATCTTATTTTAACTTTCTCCTGTATGAGTACCCATCATGCCATCACTTCAATACAGATAAGAAAGAGAAGAAAGGCAGCCGATTTGGAGAATTTTAGAAAAATCCCTATCATTTTTTCTCAAGTCCTAATAGAACTGTGAAAAAGGAAGACTTGAGGGCTTTTCACCCAGAGGCTGTCAAAGATGAACAACAAGAAGGATTTCTCATTGCTCAGGAAAATAACACATAAAGTCTGTTTCACTAAGACATAGTTAAGATTATGGTTGCTGATTTCCAGCTAATAGTTATAGTCATCTTGGTCAAAGATGGAAAGAACTAATACTGTGAGTTTAGTAAGTAAATATTTTCTTGCTTGAGCGTTATGGAGACATCCAGGTGAAAGATACCTGTAACACCTCTCTACTTAGGATCACCTGGATACTATTTTTGAACTTCACAGTACACAGGAAAGAAGTATCCTGTCAAAGCTAAAAATGAATGTTAGCAGTTTAAAGAACCTGCTGTGGTATTAAATTTAATTTGTCTTTCTTATAGAACCTATTCAGTTGTCTTCTCATTATCTTCTAAATAGAACATGACCTAAGACAAAGTATGAATGGATCAAAGTAGCTAATTGCAATTAGACACTGGTATTCTAAACTCTCAAGTCATGAAGGAAAGACCAAAAGGCTCAGAAGAGACTGCTGCCTTCAGATTTCAGGAATGTAAGTACCAGTGATGTGCTTTAAGGGGATGAGAAAGAAAAATTTCATCTGGCAATTCAAAAGGAATTGGCTTTCCAAGTAATAAGCTTCAAATTTGTTAAGTTGCATTGTAGAAGAACATCCTTTGGTCTTCCTTTGGCAGGGACATGTTCCTAAGCCACAAAGATCGAATTCAGGGTGAAGAAACAAGTTCATCTGGCTGGCATCAGTCATTTATCTTTTGATGTTCTTCAACCTGAAGACTCAAAACTGCAGCTCTATTAAGATTCTCAGATCCATTGCTACTGAGTTTGTAGATGCACATTGGTTAGACACAATCCTTTGTTTCGTTGAGATCCCATTGAAYTTCGTAAACTAGTGAAACACTTGTGTTCGATCTTGCCAATATAATTTTACATATTTCACCATACAAATTAGCGCTGGTGAACTGGATATTTGTAGCTTCACCCAGAATCTGCAGTTCAGAGCTCTATGACATTTATCACTGCAGATATGGAAGGTGATAGATGATAATCAGGACCGTAAGATCTTATGCAGTAGAAGAAAGCTCAAAGTCCACTTTATAGAACATAGAAAGTTCTTTGGAGCCTTTCCTCTACACATAGCATTAGTGTCTTTCCTGGTATTGATTTGATGTTCACTGGGGTGGAAGAAGGAGTAAACTCTAAGTCATGAAAAAAATGAACAATTTTGAAATTCTTATGGAAATTAACTCTGTGTTGGTTGTCTTCTTTATTCATTTAGTCATAGACAGCAATCTTCCACTTATTCCTGTCTGAAATTTTTCTTCATTTTACGGAGTTCTCACAAAGGATGGGACTATCTTCATTATTCTTATGKAGAAATATTTAAGATTTACAACCATGCTCAATTTGCTTTGCAAGGGAACTATATCTGAGTAATCTTATSTCAACTAAGTTTGAGAGTTGTTCACTTCTCCAACAGTGACTGTGTAGGCTCAGAATACTTCGTATGTCTGACTCTTCATAATGTTTATTATCCATTTCCTTCCCTATTAGAAAGCAGAAAAGCAGAGCTACAACARGGGAGTGTTTCTGATGTTTTCTATAATCAGTCCTAATGAGCAAGGAAATATCTCAAAAAATGCATTATTTTGAAGAATTCAAAGTATTACCTTTTGAACAATTTTCCGCTCCCTCAGAAATTTCTGCAAGTGAGCAGTGATGAAGAGTTTGTGAAGCCTGTGCCAAATATCCAGGAAAAGAGGTAAAAATTCTGCCTGCAGCTATTTAGGCAACAGATATTGTGAGGCTTCGGAATATCCTGGTTTCTCTGAGCTGAAATGTATAATCTCTGACTTGAGAAATGATCCAAAGAAGCCCTTACAGACTACAAAGGAGGGTGACACAAGGAAGAAGCACTAGGTTTAGAGCATGCCAGCATGATTCACACAATACTGGCATTTGAATGTCATCTTTTTGTACGGTAATTTCTGAGATAGTAGAATCTGACAAAAATTTTCTGAGAAAATTTAATAGGACTACTAGATATTCAAAGAGCCCTTCTTGCACAGTTGTGAGTGGCAAAGAGACTGGCAGAATGAAGCTGCAAATGGAAGTGGAAACATGTTTGACCATGGTGTCAGGACATTGGAAAAGTGGAAATTCACGGGGAAGTGAAGAAAACCAGTTATTAACAGACAGCCCTTAAGAACTTGTTCTTATTTTCCATCACAGAGGCAGTAAATTATTCTCCAGACATGAGTTCAATATCTCAAACATGCCAGCAAAGGACAAGGCAGAATAATTAAAATAAAAAAAAAAAAAAATCACAAGTTGAATCTTTTGGGACAAAGGCAGAAAACATCTTGACTGGACTGATGAATTGGAGGATTTGCACATAGAAGAAAGTAATGATTGCAAAAATCACTGTTTAGTAATTAATGACATGCAACTGAAATCTATTTGCTTTTTTTTTTTTTTTTAATATTGCAGCAATAGTTTCCTTTGATATCATCATAATTCTGTCAGGTTCTGCAGAGGCTAAAATGGTGCTTTGCAATGGATTCTAGCTGCAGTCTTACTTCTGAAAAAAACTATTCCCTGAAAAAAGTGTATAAACTACAGCATGTATTACTAACAT